GGAGGGCTTGGTTGTGTTGCAAGGCACATTCTAAAAATAAAACATGGAAATGTCTAGCTGTAAGTGTAAGTATGTGATGACTGCAGATGTGGATATGATATGCTCAGGAAGAACAAGGCCAAGCATTGACATCCCAACACTGTGGGAAACAGAACAGAGTAAGTGATCTTTTTTGGCCCATAAACCTGACTGAAGTTGTATTTGCAAACAGTCCAACTGTGGAAACTTCTGGGAAAAAACAGCAGGAAGCTGACACTCATCTAGGATTGTGTGTAACAGAAGTGCAAGCTAACTCATGTTCAGGAGACTGGGGGGTTAGCTTTTTTCCCTAATGCTGAAGTGTATTTGCATTTCAGAGAGGTTTAGGGTTGTGTCTGGCTCAAAGGTCACACGATTTTCAAGTTTCCTCCAAGGAGAGGTGAGTTGCACACCAACTTTAATGTAGTGCAACCTAGAAAAATTAAAAAGTAAAAATGTTTGCTGTAGTGAGATGTGAATACAGGGACTTGTAGTAGATGAGAAGAATTTGCAGGACTCACTTGTTACCTTTTACATATTTTCCATTGCTGCTCTTGCTCTGTGTATTGTGAACCTTCCAGACATGGATGTTTACTGCAGATCAGCAGAGTCTTACTAAGATCTACCCACATTCGAACTGAAAAAAATCATCACACTGAATTATCAAAGCTTGTAGTGCAAGCAGCACAGAGTTCTTACTGTTGATAACAAACTGAGAGTGCTGCCACGTTCCAGATGTTTTATTCTGTGGAATAGAAATCACTGTGAATGATCCTAAGAGAAAATAAGGACTGTGCCACTGGTCTCTCTGGATGGGTGGATCCATTTTAGCATGGCTGGCTTTTAGGTAACTGAATTAGTACTGGAAACTGGAATGGAAAAAATGGGTAATATAAATAAGTTAAAGCATCCATAATCATAGATACACAGTATCTGCTTAGTAATAAAACCAAGGCAGGGACTTAACAACCTTATAAAATTCCAAATATCTAAACAGAATAGCTGGAGAATTGACATAGTTGACTTGAAAATCTAGAGTGCTTTACTTGTATTTCATTAGAAGAAAGTAATGGCTTAGTGATTGAATAATATTATGCCACATTCAAAAGCACAGTCTCCCACTCCCCCTTCATTTCCTGAAGTTTGAGCTCTGTTTAAATCACTGCAGAGCCACTTGGCACTCAGTGCTATTCAGACATGCCAGTTCATGCTCTGCTCTGTGATCCAGCTCCCTCTCACGTGGCTGCAACTGTCTCGCACCTTTCATGCTCTGAAAGGCTTTCTTTGCCTTCAGCTCTGAGCTGACTGGGAGCTGCAAATGCCCAGCTCAGAGTCTGAGCAGCTGCAGGAGTTCCCTTGTCCAACGCCCAGCTCTCATGCCATACATGCTACTGAATCTCATATTCCACACAATCCCAAACTTGGAAGCTGGAAAGCTCCTGGAAATCACTGGTCTGAAACTAAAGCAATTCTTCATGGAGTGATTTGTCTGTGTTCCACCCTAGGATGTTTATCACAACTTTAACACTGAAGTTCATGGTTGGTGGGAATCTGCAAACTTTTTGATTTGTGTTTTTGTGTGTACTTCAGATTTTGTAACAAATATGAATAATGACTTTTTCTTCTCCTTTAGTGCATTTGTATTTCCAGCATACAACTGAACTAGAGCAGCTCACAAATGTATTTTCAAACTCAATGTGGATTAAGATACAATGTAAGGGATTCCTTACTTGTCTCCACAGTGCTTTTAATTCTTGCACCACAATCTTATTCTCAAAATACAGAAATCTTTGCTTATTGGAACTAATAATCAATCCCCAGCTGTGGCTGAGGACTCAGTGTTGATTTATGTAGGGTTGGACAGTACATAGAGTGAAACTGAGCCACTTAAACCTGCAGAGGTTAAAGTTTTTTGTAAATGTGAATTTAATATCGTATTTAGCTAAAGTTCCTGGTTGAGGCTGGTTCTTTAGGGAACCTGTGATAATTTACAGCATTAGAAGGGGAAGTGGTACAGTATTTCCTGTTTTTCCTAGCTCTGTATGGAGTAATTGCTCTGGCAATTTTACTGACACTTCTTTCAGTTTACTATAAAATCATATCACAAAAACTTCACAATTTGCCAACAAAATAACCCCCCAAATTTCAATATTTCAATAGATCCAAGGGCTAGAATGACTCCAGCACTTAATCTGGTGGTTACTGTAGAGCTGTTCCAATGCTCCAAAGCTACTGGAGGATGCTCTACTTCACTTATGTTTCATTAGTGTAATATAAGTGTCCTATTGTCTGGGTTTGTTCTGTTATTCTTCCCTTTAATAGCCACCTAAAAGGAACAGCCACTGAAATACTAAAAATGAGGATGAATGACACATTGTAAGGAAAGAGGCTCTATGCCAAATTCCACACATTTACACTGCCAACATTTATCCACAATGTTGGCAAAGTGGAGAAACACTTCTGAGCTGCTCTGTTATTTATGAAACAGATAATTTTTTTTTTCCTGGTAGGACAATGTTGGATAATTTGATTTTTGTCACCATCACCTTAGCCACCAGTTTTAGGGTGACAGTGGGCAAGACACTTTAACCCATCTATGTCTCTAGTTTCTCCTTCTGTAAGATGGAGGTAAGAGTTACATGTCCCATATTACTCTGAGCCTGAAGTCAGTTAAGCTCCAGGAGTATATTTTATTTTTATGTGAGACATTATTGCATATGAAATGAATCATTTCTTGTATGAATTTAATACTTATTTATGATGTGAAATTTGTCCATAAAAGCAATACATGGTGAATTAACTGTTTTTACATCTATTATACACTGTTTGACAGAATCAAGTTTGACTGTTTCCTTCAATTTATTTGACAAATATGACCATCCACCCTTAAAGATACTGTGCCTCGTGTGTGTGTGTCTGCAGTCATCCCAGGATCTGTCTGCACTGTGAACTGCCACGGGTTTGTGTCTTGTCCTTTCCCCTCCCCTCTGTCTCCCCAGTGTTTTAACTGAACTGCATTATCCTGTGTACTAATTAAATGTATAGGGGTGGTGTTGTGCTAGAGAATCTTAGTTTATGCAATGATCTCCCCCCTGCCCCTCCTGCCTTCTTGTCCTGAAAAGCCCTATAATGCAGCTTTTCCTGCTATTGTAAACTGCCAGCAGACAGCATGAAGTTAGAAATGGGTGTTCGTTGGGTGAGAATGTTGGTTTGAGCAACGTGTACTGAGTGTGTGTGCATTGGGAAGTTAATTTAGTGTCAGAGATTTCATACAGAAGTTCCCCCTGAGCAGTGGCCTCAGGCAAAAAAGATAAATCCTTATTTTTTGAGAGGTCTTCCCGACAATAGGTAAGGAAAGCATGTCTGAGGTCAAGCAGGTAAATATTCACTGCAAACCTAACCTGGGGAGTTACACTGCTACACAGGGGCTGGTTTTCTGTGCAACTGGAATATTACACAGGAATAATCCAGCTGGGAGGGGACAGGGGAGATGAAACAAAAAAACAATTCAATTAGCTGTTCTTGGAAATCCTAGTACAGGTTCTCTTGGTTAACACTAAGTGTGTGTTTGTGCAGGAATGGAGGTCTCTGGGGTCACATAACTATTCATCTTGATATTTGTAGGAAATGGCATTAAGTTTTTTAAATTCCTTGAATAAATATGTAAAAATACTTTCCAGTGACATTCTACATCTGCTACAGTTCTCTTCTAATATTTTCCTGGTGTAGTTTAAGCATCATGTAAGCATGAAGAGAAAGGTTTCTGCTGTTCCATGTGGTCAGTTGTTCTAGACAGACTACTTTCAGTTCATATCTAGTGTGCTCAGCCTTCCCTAACAGGCAGACCAGGACTCCAAGGCCCAGGCCACTTATTTGTAATGCTCTGATTGTCTTAAAAACGGGGGTAAGTTGAATTTGCTTTTTGGTTTGTTTGTTGTAATAATCTAATTTGCCCTCCTATTTTTGCACTAATGTCTGTGTGGAACAGAGAGCATACCAAAGAAGAAACAGCGCTTCAATTTATTTTTTATTTCAGCTTCCTCTTACACTCTCTTTTTATTCTTATAGTTTTATTTTTTGAATGAAAATTTTAACATTAATTTAACTTTCAAGATTTTTTTAAAAAAGTTTCAACAAAGTCTTTGTTTTATTTTATTCCAAGACAGTGTTTTCTCTTGTGCATTGTTTGGACTTATTAGAACTCCTAAGCAGAAAGTTAAGATTTCTTTTTTGAAGGTCACACACATTCTGCCAACTACACATATTGTTGGTGAGCCAGATATCTCCAAGAGAAGGCTTAGAAAGGTGGTTTGGAAGTGTTCTGGGGTTTAGCAACTGCACAGAGTAGAAACTCATAAAATATATTATTCAGGCAGAGAAAGTTCTTTGAGTCTAAAGAAAAAATCTCTGGGGCTCAGAAAGAGAAGTAACAAACTCTAAAAAAATATTTTTAAATTGCTCAGGGAATAATTCTTCATGTATGGTTTGCATTATCTGCAAAGTGCAGTATTTGATTCTAAAATAGAAGCACCTCAAGTAAGTCATTACTTGAAATTAATTTAGTCCTAAATAATTTAGTCAAGTTGAACCATACATAAGCCATACTTTTTTTTTTTAATTTACAGTGTAAAGTTTAAAAATACTTTGCTGTGATGGCAGTGTAGAATGTGTACGGTAAGAGGGGGATTTTTGTGCAGATTAATTTTAGCATTTATAGTCTCCTGACTTTCAACTGACTTTTTTTTTTTTTCCAAATTGCAGTCTTAGATTGCTGCAACAGAACATCACCTCTGTAAACTGAAATAATGTAATTAAATCTTCTCATTCAATCTTGTGGAGTCTTTGCATACACAATGCTGTCAATTTGAAAGGTGAACAATTCTTAGTTTCCACATATTTCCCTTGTCCTGAAGCTGCAGTGTGTGGGCACGTGTGTGACTTTAGTGCCACAGGAGCTTCTAAAGGAAGATTTCTTGTCCTAGTGCTGGGCTGTTGGACCCTCCTGTGACAGTGGGACAAAGGACATTGTCGGAGATGGAGTGTGATGGGAAGGACTTGAACACCTGCTGAAGCCTTGGAGGTAAAGAAAGGGGGGAGAGAAAAGACAAGTGTGGTGCAGCAGGGGAATGGAATTGCAGTATTGAAACACCCCCTAACATGCTGCTGCACTTTGAGGTTCTTTCTCCTCAAATATGCTAAGAAGAGATTTGATAATATAAAGTAAAAATACAAATAGCTTTCTTTTTTATTTTTTTAAAAAAGTAATCTTAGTTAGTTTCTGTAGTCTAGATTTCCAAGATGCCACAAACTGTATTGTAGGAATTATGTGATCTATAAACATTACAGTAAAAAATCTCAGACTAACCTTTAACCCATGCTAACTCTGAATTATTTTGATTTTATGAGTGACTATATGCAAATGAGTTGGACCTTGTGATTGATAATTCAGTGCTTGACATTACTGACAGTAATGACAAGTCCCTTATGATGAAGGTACACATCAAAATATGAGTGTGGCTAAAACATCAGAGTTTCTTTAAATAGCAAGCTTTCCCTTTGGTGTAAGGTACCAGGCAACAAAAGTGTATTTAAACCAACTATTTTAAGTTATTTTTAAGTACAAAGCAAATTTTCCCTTTACAGTCTGGTGCTTAACAATTATTAAAGTAAACAATTATTAAAGTAATAAATAAATGGGAATGAAGAAAATATCATCCTTATTTGCAGAAGAGCCAAATGATGTAACAAGTTACTTTTTGTTTCAGAATGACCTAATTAGGACATTAAGGCCAGGGTTTCCAAAGATTCATTGGTTTGACCTTCCTGAAAACTTCTGCTACAAGCACATGGATATTTAAAATATTTCTTTCCCAAAAGCATACTGTAATTTCTTGGACCTCAATTGAAAAATACTGTGGTGCATCTTTGGGGACTTTGTATAGAGTAAGTAAATAACTGCTTTTTATTAAATACATTTTAATGAAAAGACCAAATTAATAAACAGGACACCCAAACCAAATGCATTTAAGACTGAGCTTAATTTTGCTTTTGCACAGGCCTCTGCAAACCCATTGATTTTCAAAATGACTGGGTCAATAAATAGCAGTATTTAATGAGATTCTGGAAACTAAATCAACTTCAGACAAGTCAGAGTTCCAGTCTTGTGCAAACAGGTGCAATTGAAGTGGCTGCAGTGGATTTGATTACTGACATTTCTTGGGAGGCTGACAGAGACTGAGATAAATCTTTTTGAAAGGCTGCACACAAGGGGCAGTCGACAGTGTGTTTCTCCCCAGAATTTTAAGACATCAGTTTTACCTCCTGGGGGAATTTTCTATTTGAAATGTTATAAATTTGCCATTGTTGCACTTGCCAATATTGTGTCAGATTTGCAGCATGAAATCTCCTAACTTACCGTGCATTAGCTTGAACTATTTTGCACATATACAATTGGAAATGATTAAATAGGGTTTCAGTTAAACAATCTTCCCCTGACAAGCTTAAGCAGAGTTTTACTTCAACAAACAAAGCCATTAGGAAGCCATCTGTTTGAAAATGATCTAGACTGTGGAATTTAATATTTGTGTCTGCATTACCTGTTATTGAATTGGTGGCTCTTGTATTCCTAATTATGTGAAACCCACAGGCAGGGATATAAAAATATTGGGATTTTTATAGCAACCGTAATAAATTGTTGTGATTACTTGTTTGCTGCTATAAATTGTCAAAACAAGAATCAGCCAGCCTCCTAACTCACATTTCCCTGAGGAGCTGTAATGTCCACAGGCTCCACCGCTTTCCTAACCCATAAGTATTTGCCTTTTCCTAAGTTAAGTGGAGAAATAATGTCATACACACAGCAAACTGTTATAAACCTCCTGGTTTGTTACCTTTTGCAGTTTCCTATTTGGTACTTTGCTTTGGATGGTATATAAAGTCAATAAGCAGGTGGAAACTGGGTCATAGGAATCTTTCTGGTGCCAAAACCCAACTTAATGGAAATTGTTAAACATAGCTGTATTTTGTAAAGGAGCTTTGCTGTTCTCATCTGACTTTGGCGTAATATTCTGTATTATGTGTGTTTGAAACAATTGTAAATTAATGCTGAATCCATTTGGCTCTCATCAGCTCCTGTCAACAGCAAACACATTTCATACAGATTTATGTTCCCAGGAAATAGGAGGTCTTTTCTTTGAAATGTTACAGCTTTACCTTTACATTTTTATGATCTTTAAATTTCAGTGTTCTTAATCTAGACAAGAGCTGAAGCTGTAAAATTTGTCTATGAAGGCTGTTTATTAGGTTAATGCTTACTTCAAAAATTATTAAATAAAAACAGGTTTTTAAGTAGGACTGACAGTTGAATGGGTGATATCCAATGCTGCACAGAAGTCTTAAATTTCCTAGTATTTTCATACCTATTTGCCTCTTAAGACAGATTTTTTTTTTTTGAAAGTTAGTACACAGCAACTAGGATTTGCTAGAGCATATCCTATCCTACACTAAAATAAGTGCATTCCTTTATGCAGTTGAAATGAAAATCGGGTTTATATCTGTAAGCAAACAAAAAGTGAAATGATGTAGAGAAAATATTTCAGGAGAAATATTGTACAAAACAAGATATTGCAAGATTTTCCACACAGTTTGAAGAATTATTTGCTTTGAAAAGTTTGGACAGATGAGCAATTTCGTTTGAGGACATAAATACCTTCTCATTTAGTGTGAAACTGGTGACAGTCCTTGAAATGCCTTTCCAAAGCAAAGACAAAGATTTCATAATCTCTGTATCAGAATTGGTGGTAATGCAAATTCATGATATATGTTAACAGTTCCTTCATTAGCTTTGATGTCTAACTTTACAAAATATTAATTTTCTGAGGGCTAAGTGACACGAATTTTGCCATGCTTTAATTTTTTTTTTCGAGTAATAAGTCTGAAAGAAGGTAGAGTGCTCTGAGTGAGTTACACCAAACCCTGTCAGATCTGATGATATAAAATGTTTCAGAGTTTGTTTGTCTGTCAGAGTCAGGGTGAGTTAAATCTCTATCTGGAATTTTAGCAAGTGAGTCACAGTGAGGTCTTCAATAACAAATGTTTTGACTGGGTGTCCCAGGTGGAGAAAAATTGGCCACTTAGATCTCACTGAAGAATAATTCTATAGTTCTCTCTTGACCTTACTTTTTTATTGCTGTTTTATTGTTTCCTGTGTGGAGAGGGAAAAAAAAAAAACCCAACCAACATTCACACAGCTTCTTTTATGGTCATGATTCACCACTGTGGCAATCAAGCAAACCTTGGAAGGACACTGAGTGAGGCCTTGCCAGTGCTTTGAAGTGCAGGGCAGGCAGAGCTGTTTGGACGTGGTTTGACTTGAATGTTCTGCTAATGTGTGATTTCCAAAGTTCCTGCTTGTGGTTCTCCACCCAGAGAAAAAGAAGGCAGTGACAATGCACCCTCAGACTTTTTTTTCTAAGAACACATAAGAAGTACATAATAATGAAGAGGAGTTGAAAATACTAAAAATGCAAATTATTATCTTGAAAAGTTGTAGTCAAATGATTCTTATGAGTAAAGAAGTCAAGGACAAAATTAGTTACTTGTAATGTGAGGAAAGCAATGCTGAATGTTGTCCTGGTATATCTACAAATGGTTTAAAATTCCAGTTTAGTAGTTTGGGTGTAATTTTACAATATGTGGAAGAATAAAGACTCCATTAGGAAGAAGTACTTGTCTCAGGCAGGAAATCTTCCTCTGGTATTTGGCTAAAAAACTGGGAAAAATAGACAAGTAACAGCTCAAATTTTGTTATATTATTTAATGAAGAGCACTTCTGTAATGAAGAGCCATTTGTAAGTATGACTGTATAAAAGGTTTCCTAAAATCATCATAATTATGTTAACTTTTATTGAAAGTGAAAATTTCACAACTGACCTGCAATTTTAAACTGATGCAACAGTGAGAAGAAACACAGGCTTGTCCCAGGCTTTGTAATGTCCAGTGTGCTGGAAATGGACTGGATTGTTTTGTTTCTGTTCTGTCTAAGCCCATACACCTCTCACCTTTGTGATCTGTGTTGGAAGCATGTTTGTCCCCAGTTCACTTTCCAGTCAGGATTGTTTGTCTTCTGTTCCTTGCTAAATGTGAGACTTTGCTGGCTGCTTGCACATGTCCCTCCTGCCCCAAGGACAGCTGTGGCCCGACATTCTCTGAAAGATTAAACACATCTTTTCCTTTGGGCCCCCCTTTTACTCACTCAGGGTTTATAGTTCACCTCTTAGAAAGATGTGATAGTTGAAGTAGACAAGCACAGGGGTGCTTGATTTCATAAAATCAATGATTCTTTCTATTACCTGGTGTGTATTATACAGATGAGAAAATACTGACACTTCCCTTCCTCAGTTTTGAATGTTGATTTGGGCACACTCTGTGCATTCTGTGCCACCCAGCTCTGTACAGAACTTTTCTAGATCATGTTGCATACCTCCTGTGTCACAATTTTGCAGCCAGTTCCCTTCTCCTTTGACCCACAGTTAGCCAAGCACTGCTCACTGTTCCTTTTCCATGCACAAGTTTTGTGCCTCTCTGGGATTCATGACCTTTCCCAAATGCTTTAGTTTTTGAGGTCCAGTTGTTTCATTTTGGGGGGAAATTCTGTAGCTTCAAACCCTGTCTCACAGGAAGAGTTTGGATGAATTGATTGCTGTCTGGCTCAGACACCCCATTGTCCTTTTCTTCTCCCTCTGCACTGGGAGCTGCCAGGGTGGGCTGTTTTCCACAGCCCCATGTCTGAGACATATGTGACTCAGCCCTGACAGCATATGGCTGATTTCACATCCCCTGAGGTATTTAATGATGCAGCAGTTTCAGAACCACAGCCAGGATTCCTGCTTTGTACACAGACAGATTTCCCACATCGTCACCGAGGCTTTTTCAAAGGTATTTTCTCAAGCTGTACTGGTGGCATTCTGCATTTCACACAAGAGTTACTCACCTGCCTGCTTCTTATGTGTAGAGGATGTAAGAGGTGTTGGAGTGGAATAAAATAAGAAAAGTGAGAATTATCACACCACATCACTTCTAAGTATAAAGGTTAGTTACGAAGCCAGCAGCTGCTTTATCTAAACCTCAAGGTATAAAATCACAGTCACAGAAAGAAGAATCTCACATTGATTATGAATCAGAAACATGAGCAAACCCAATAGACACATAAAAGGCTTGAGGCTTGGAAGCATAATTGTGGCTTTTGTCATCCCTGAAGCCACAACTTTTTTCCCCTGCTCTAGTTTCAAAGAGAATAATGGCATCATCTGATGTTTTTGACTTGCACACAGTAAACTTTCTGCAAAGGCATTGGAGCAGTGTCAGTTCTGCTTGGTTCTGGGCTGCCTTTAGTGTGCAGTTGGCGTGTCTAACGTGGGATTCCAGATGGGAATGGTCATCTTGATCCTGGCTTGATTAACCTCTGTTATACCAGTTCAGGGGAGTCATCTGGCAGAAGATGATTTCCTTTTTTGTAAGGATAACATTTTGCTGCACTCCCTGAGCTCACTGAAAAAGGTGAGGAGGGTCCTTCTGGCCAGGAACTTGTCAGGAGATGCAGGTTCAAGGGAAGGGAATGAGGTTGTGTGACTGCAGTCAAGAGAAGCCCTTTATGCCAGCACCTAAGTAGTTGTGTTCCATGAGCTCCATCATCCCCTCTTCTCTGTCATGTTGAGCATTTTCAAATTAAACTGCTTTCCTTAGATTTTTCCAGACTAACGTACATACAAACCTATTAACTAAAACTCATAGTGTCAAAAACTCTTTAGAAATCGAATGAGCTTTCAGAAGGAAGAATTACTAAGAGGCAGTTTTAAGTGTAATAATTTTATATGAGTGTACATTTTATTGTATCTCCTTGGAATCTCGTAACACTAAATATGTTTCTTGCATATGAAGACTGTAACTGAGTGTGAGAGAAGTTTTAAGCTTCAGATTGTGTGGGATGAATGTTCTGTCTCTGGATCCAACTGTCTACAAATTCTAAACAAATATTCCAAGAGGTTGTGTTGCTGTACCCAATATCCACGTGCAATATTCTGAGACTGAGCTTGGCTAATTCTGAATACCATAACAATCCTTAAAAACAACCAACCAAACCAAACAAACAAAAAACCCAAACTCCAAAGGAATAACAACTTAACAAAGATGAAGTTTATTTTCTTGTAGAAGGATTTATGATAATAATGCAGTAACTATTAAAAAGAAGATACCATAGAACAGAGATTTTTTTGTAAATCCAGTGTAAACATGGTAAACTTTTTAAAAATAATTTATTTTTAAATTAAGCTAGAGTGTTCTGTATTATCCTCATTGGAAACAAAAAAGCTCTGGCAACTTTATTCTTTGAAATGCTGGAATGACCCAAAGGCTTGGAATTGAGATTTGATGTTGGCAGGAAAGTGGCCTGCCCCTTGAGCATGTGCTTTTTGTTATTTCTGAGAAAAATCTACATATTCAACCAGGTTTTAACCCTTTTGGGCATAACTCCTGGTATGATCTCTGCTTGCTAGATTTAAACAGTAAAATCTTCGATAACTGCATTCCCTAATTATTTCCATGACCTCTGTCCCCATGGAGTGTGTGCTGTGAGCTCCACAGAGCTGCTGGGTGTGCTCTGGCCCCTCTGTCCCCATGGAGTGTGTGCTGTGAGCTCCTCAGAGCTGCTGGATGTGCTCTGGCCCCTGGAGGTCTCACTGCAGGTCCCTTTCAGTCCAGACCTGGGGGCACAGTGAACCTGGGAGTCTGCCACTGCTGTAGGAAGGGATTCAGCTGAACCCAACTGGCTCAGGAAGGCAATCCCATTTGCTGGGGCTTGAGGATGGTAAAAAATTAGTAAAAGAAGTAACATCTTAAAACTATCCCAGCTGTTACTGAAGTGTTTGAGCACAGCTGGGGAGCCCAGGTAGGGGGATTTCTTGGCACCTTGGTTAAAGACTTCCCTGCCTCGGTCTGTGCTGGAGCTCCCCTGGCAGTGCCTGTCCCAGAACAGAACCAGAGAAATGTTGGCTCTGTGATCACTGCAGGTCATGGCTCTGTGTGTTAAAATTTAACTTTTGTTAAGTTTCCCTTGCTCAGCAGGGAACTGTAGGAGTTTCCCCCCCCAGCCCCCCAGTTTTTATTCTGAGGAATTAGCATAAGAAAGTTATGAACCTAAATTGTAGATGTGGCTAGCGTGGAAAGGTAGTGTGCAAAAGGGTGGCACTATTTGGTGGTACCAGTAATGGTTACAGAGCATTTCCAGTTACTCAGCCTTGTCACCTGCTATTAAGAGGGACATGACAGTTCTGTCTGGTTATGGTGGTTTAAAGAAATGATTCTGTTGAAAGGACTTTGCAAATCTGCTGAGTTGCAAATGTTCTGAACTGGCTTTGTCTCTGTAAGTTAGAGATTTTTCTTTACAGTATCAGCTTTATGTGTGAACCACCTGATATGAGTGACTGGTAGCTGTATAAATGAACTATTTTCAAGGATTTAGCATTAATTCTGCTCTCTGTAATTCCTGTCACTCCTTGTAGTAGTTACTAAGGAAGTACAAAGTGTAATGACTTTGTCATTTACAATTTCTGTAAGAATCCAGATGTTTGAAAAAAAATATTTTGTTAAGAAGTAATTTACTGGGAACATCAGTTTAATGTTGACCTTTCTCAGGCCTTAATCATCTTTAATAATTAAGATTTTCAGTGACTAATTTTTATGATTGCTCTGTTTAAATATCAGGTTCCCGACTGCACTATGACTAAGCAGCCTGGGTGCAGAAAGAGTTCAGCATTCATACAGAACTATACTGGGGATTAAATCTTGAGCAGCAAAACTCCAGTCATCTCCTGAGCACACACAAATGCTCATATAAAGCTACATATGTAACTTGTAAAGGGGAATCAACAAGTAAAAATCACCTCTCACCTTGTGCTCTCTCCAGTGTCTGTTACGTAACAGATAAAATTAATGCAAATAACTGTTAGAAACACTGAGTACACAACCTTTGTTTTACTTACAGTTTGCACAGAAGTGCATATATGTGTCAAGTGCCACAAAGGAGTGAATAAGGCCCCAAAAATTTCTGCCTATTAACTCCAGATGCTTTTTATTTTATGCTTTCATTTTTATTGAGAGAAACATAATATTTAGAATTAAATAATCCACATGTAAACAATTATTTTATATTGATTAGGCTTATCTCCTGAGCCTATTGAATCTTTGCAAAGCTTATGCAATAGAAAAATATTCTCTGTAAGTCAACTACAATTTTTCTTACAGATGATTCATGCTGAGTGTGACAAAGTGGCAGAGGTACCTCTGGGATTCCAGCAAGCTCCTCAGTGTTGTGGTTATCTGTTAAAAATGCTCTCCAGTTGTGCTAAAAAGTTTCTCAGTTCCTATCAGTCTCAGGAAAATACTATTTTCCTAGTAATTCAAAATACTTTGGATAACTGACTTTCTGATAAACCAGGGCCAGAATTAAACTCCAGTGAGTTTGCTGCGTCCTTTGCATCCTGCAGCTTCCAATACCTATTGAATCCACTCCTTTTTGTAAAACATCTTTTCAGTAACAGTGTATTTCCTGAGAGGACCAGATGATTTATAAGTTAAAAATATGAATTTACTAATACATAGTATTAAATAAATATTCTAACAGCTTGATATATACTCCAGTAAGAAGCTAAACAGGTTTTCTGGATGTTACTGGTTGTTTATGGTAGTAAGGAACACAGTTGTATTTTAAATATGCAGAAAATATAAAGCAGAATTTCTCAGTTTAGTGGAAAAAGAAATAAATAGACAATCCCATGCATTGCTGCCATAAAGCATGATTTATAAGTGAATAAAAAAAGTGTAAATGTTGAATTCCGTTCTTTAAATTTTCCCTTGCAGAATGAGATGTTTTCTTTTTTTGCATGAGAGGGAATAAAAGTGCATGAATTTAAAAAAGAAAAAAAAAGAAAACAATACAGTTATTACATAGAGCAATTCCTGAGAGAGACCACAGTCTGAGCAGCTTGAGATTTTAGCCAGCTGAATTTCATTGAGAACTTGGAGAATGAGAGAAATGGCAGTTACAACATAATTTATCTTGATAACCAGAGAGAGACTCTCTTACCACATTCCCATAGTGCAAATATTTGTGTGACTGTGTTTTCTGGGTTCTTTCTTTGCCTAATCAAAATCTTTGACAGCTTTCCTGTGTGCCTTTCTAATGTGCATTTCTTCTGGGCTTTTTCTGGACAGGTATTGAAGAACGTGAAAGAAAAGCACAAAGGTTTTATTTCTCCTGTTTTATTTCCAGGGCTCCTCCTTGCCTTTACCTGCTGGGTTAGAAATGAACACACTGGGAGATAATACAAATAAAGCCACAGCACATAGAAAGGGGTTCAGAGAGCAGAGCTCCTAACAGAGGGGCATTATTTTGTACAAGTGATTTGGGAATATGGGAGAGGAATGAAAAGTCTTGGTTTGAACTTCTGAAGTTACTCAGGATTTTGTGGAGTGTTGAATCCAAATGTTTGATATTAAATTGCTCAAATCTAAAAGCTAGCTAAGGGACTTTGCAAAGGTGTGTCATTCTGTCAGTGATCAAATGTACAGGAGAATATATCTGATGTCAAAATGGATGGAAATTCATAATGGATATATCTGAGTTTCATAGGGCTTTCAAGAAGTGAGAAAAATCAAAAACCTGGGTGAGTATGTGTGGGTTTGAATTTAACTTAAAATATGAAAATAATTTCAAGATTAAAAAAGAATCTTTGAACAGCTGTGGTGCATCAAGGGCTTGAGTGGATAAAGGGGAAATAAGCCAACAGCAACTGAATATTTGTAAGGATTTAAACTATTATATAAATAACAGTGCCATGTCACAGAGCACAGCAGGGATGTGAGGGGCAGGTTTGGACAGTGGTGTGTGCTGGGGTTCCAGTGGAGCTCTTTCCCCCAGTGTTGTGGCCCCTGGCCAGGGGAGTTGTCCCGAGTCCCCTCCTGAGGCTCAGCCACCCCTGGAAGTGCTGCCTGGGCAAGGACACGGCTGGTCCTGGTCCCAACTGCTGCTGGCACAGACCCAGGGACACCTTGGAGCACAGTGTGCACACAGCAGCCATTTAAATGCAATTTGTTCTCAAGAGACAAAATACTATTATAAATTCTCACTAGTAGAGAAAAAGTGCTGTGCTGGAGGCTTTTCCTCAAGCTTCTCAGGAAATACTTGGTGCTTATTTTAGCACTGAGAGGCCAACAATCATAAAACTGTGTTTTACCAAGAGGTAAGGCAGGGAAGGTAGTCACTGTCCCAAATTATCTTCTTATCAGATTCAGGTTTGCTGTCCCACAGAGTTTTTCCAAACTGCACATTTGCAAATTCCATTATAGCAATCAAAAATTCTGTTTTAGCAATCTGGAATTTGTCCCCTTCACTTGTGAAGCCAAATGAGAGGGAATTCTCTGTATATTTCCAGTTACAACAGAACTTTTTTTTTTTTACAGAAGTCTTTAGAATTCTTTTAGAATTTCCTTTCTTTTGAATAATTTTTTTAGGAAATTTAATGGTTTTGTCTTTCAGGAGGGGGGGCATCTTTCTTTAATTCCTGCTAATATAATTGTATCAAATATAATATACTTTCATAATAATAATGAAATGTTAGAGTGGAGTAGAGAGATAGTGACAATAACAGATTGAAAAACTGTAATACTAAAATTGTATAAGAGGCCTACTCATTATTTACAGTCAGTTTGATGTTATCAGAGATTCTCAATACAGAAACTGTAGCAGGAAACCCAGAGCTGATTTTTACAGAACCATCTTATACATTCCTTGCAATACAGTTCCCAGATATTATGAAGAACCAAAGGGGAAAAAAGAGAAAAGAAAAATGTGTTGCTGTTTGGTGGGGCTTTTTTTGTTCCTTTTTTGTTTTGTTTTGGTTTGGGGGTTTTTGAGGGTGTTTTGGTTTTTTTGTTTTGGTTTTTTTTTCATGAAAGGGTGGAACTTTCCTTTCAAAAAGATGAAATGCATAATAATAATAAAATAGCAGACTTGTTGAGGCAAACACATTGAAGTCATTCAGAAAAATAACTGCATGACATCATGGGAGAAAGATAGAACCAAAAAAGGACAAGTTTTGTAGGCCAAATAGCTTCTATTCATCCCCAAAGAATTTGTCCTACACACACAAGAATGGGGAGAAAGAAAGAAAGAAATAAAACCTTCATCCTTGGAAGCTCACAAAACACAAATATGTTGTCCCAGATAGAAAAGGTCAAGAAAGTAAAAAAATAAAATAAAGCCATGACTCTAATCAGGAATGCTCACTGAGAAATACTGACTTGTGCTTAAAAAAGCAGAGCTGAAAGTTCCTCCCAGTAATCCAAAGAACTGGAGCCATTGTGAATCACTGTATACTCTTGTTATCTTACATTTTCAACAAACTAGTATTTGCATATAAAAGGATGATTTTTGACACATTTTTCTATCTTGATGGCTCAGAGCTGCAGGAAGAGTTTTCCACCCTTATGAGTTCAGCAAGGTGATTCCCAGGCACTTGCTTGGCACTAGGAAATTTCAGAGGCACGAGCTGCTCCCCAAGCTGATCCCATATCTTTATTAGAAATCTTATTTGTCCTTGAACATGTGCAATATTCATAAAATGAATTTATTATCAAATTAACACATAAAAGTCCTTGAAACTGGTATTTTTGAAGATGTTGTTAAACTTATGAGCTCTGTTAGTCACAGCATTCTCCTTTTATCAAACAGAATGAAGGAGCTACTCTTGTTGAGAAGAAAAGAGAACAGCGAAGAAAAAGGTGCCAGAAGTTTACAAAAGCAGGAAGGTAATATCAATAGGGAACTGGCTGGGTTATCTGAAGGGTGAAAAGGAACTGGTTTAAATGGATACACTGGACAACATTAGGATAGTTTGGTACCTTTTAGTGTACATATATAAATAATTAGATTTATTTTCCTGAATCAATTCAGCGATGCCTTCAGAAGGTGATTGCAGGTTAAAACAGCATTATTGTCACACAGCAATGTAATTTCCAGAATAACACCTAAGGCTTCACAGGTATACTGGTGATTAAGAGCAGATTTACTGACTTCCTGGCATATAGACTTTGATAAGTTTTATTGATAAAATAATGACATAGAGTATTTGAGACACTTTTAGCTTTGTGATTTAAAACCAAACAACAGTAGTCCTAAAGCTCTAAAACACTAGAAAGGAAGTGCCATTCTTAAAGAAGTTCACTTAGGTTATGAAATTTGCTCTTTGAGACCATGCAGAGCTTTAAGACAGCAGACCAAAAGAGACTGAAAATGGGCCATAATGATGAGCAGTGCCATTTGAATGTTTTACAGTCCCAGTATGAGGAGTAATGTGAGATTTCTAAACTTCTGGGCACAAGCTTTGCACTGTGGAAACATGGTGTTATTGTTACCAATACTTTTGGCTCCTTTTATTTATATGCATGTGTGCATTTAAAATCACAGTTGTACTGTGGTATATACATATATATATATACATATATACACATAGGCATTTCATGTGTGTACTCCTAAGGAAGAGTTTAAATGTCAAGGGACATTTCTTACTTGTAAGGAATGTGACTTGAACCTTTCCAGCAATTTTTTTGGTAAGACAAGGTGCATCCTTCATGTGAGTGTTGGAGGGAGGTGAAGTGAGATTACCTTACACACATTCAGGTGAAAGCTACATTCAACTGGAAACTTGAAGAGTAAATGTTAGTTTAAAATAATTTTTTTTTTGCTACTATTAGGCTTACAAAAAGTTCCTGTAGTAGCAATGTTGTTGCTATGA